AACAAAGGAAGAAAATATTTAGGTATATTATATTCCTTATAATAATATATACCTAAAGGAATATATACCAAGGAATACAAATAATGCTATAATGAGGTAAATTATTATAAATATATCAATATTATATAAATTATATTAATATACTTATTTATATAATAATATATAGGTAACAAAGGAAGAAAATATTTAGGTATATATTATTATACGTTACACATTTTTCTAACCACACAAATATTTATATTTGGCAATGGTATTTATTTCCAGAATATATTAACATAAATTCCTAGATTATCTCTCCATTCAGATCATTCAGAGAAAAGAAGTTAATTTAATCATTAATCCTCAACTGGTATTATTATAAATAATTGTGGCATCTTTCACCTTATATTGTATACTTTCTACAGCAAAAATGATTAATGATTTTTATTAAGTACCGTCCAGAATTTATTATTCCAGGTGTTAAGAATTCTGAGAAGTTCAAATTATTTTAATTATTTTATTATTTTCATTATTGCAGACTAAGCATAAGTGTATGTTTATACGAAAAATTAAATTAATCATGCACGATTAATTAATACTAATCAATATTTCATATTCTGTTATTATTTAGTTTCATTTATCGATATTTGAAAAATATGAAAAAAAGGAATTTAGATTTTAAGCAACGCGTAGGTGAGTATCAAAATAATAGAAAATTAATGTGCAATAAATATCAAATACTCGCTATTGAACAAGGCATCTCGAACAAATTAAAGATATGATACAACGAAATCCACGAATAAAAATTAATAAACGTTATAATATTTTTCTTAAATCAAATAAAATCTTTTTTTAAATCATTGTTACAATTGATTCCTATTACCATTGTCATAATTACAATTCTAAATTGTAAAAATGGAATAACCATAATAAAGCAAGATATTACAAAAATAAATATGTAATTTCAGTAAATAATTATGACTTAAAAGATAACAATTTTGATAATATTTAGTATGATAAATTTATAATAAAATCGGTACTATCTATACAAGGAGTTGAATTACATTTTTTCTGATGACTCACCCTATAGATCTTGTATAACATACGTATATTCATTGTAGTCTAACCCAGTTATTACCAATGCCCGAGTAACAACGTATTTTCCAAGACACCGTAAATGCACTCATAATACAATTCAACGTGACATTAACATTATAATACTGTCCTTCTACCTTTTGAGCAAGAAAAACTGTAATGAGTATTAGTCATAAAAAAATATACATACTGAATGTGCTTGAAAGCTTGTTATGAGTTTTTGTCACACCCAGTAGCAGTTATAGTCTATTACTATTTTTATTCTCATATTACATGAAGCAGTCACCTACACTGACTTATTGTAATTAAAAACTTATGTCATTTTTATAACGTTAATACCTGTATATAATTGTACAAATCTTTATTTTATCTTAAATACAAATCTTAAAGTACATTTAAGTATGTATTAAATATAATGTATAGTAATAAATTAATAAAATAATAGAATAAAAAAATTAAATAATAAATAAATAAAATAATTATTATCCTTTTTAAAAAGTAAGATTTATTATTTTATGCATAGTTATATGATCAAATTATACTTGAAATTTTATATTTGTAAAAAAAAATATTTTACTATCATATATGTATATAATAATAATAATATCCCCTATTGATATGTTTTATTTTTTTAATGAAATGATATATGCACATTTATATTTGGAATATTTATTTTTGGAAACAAATATATAACAGTAAATAAGCATTTATGGCAATATATTTAAATATTTTTCCTAATCCATTCATAGCATATCGATTCTTTTAAATATATATTCATTTTTATTAACTTTTAAATTATTAATGCAAAATTAAAAATAGCTATATATAAATATGTACATTTTTATATGGAATAAAATAGTAAAGCATATTTATATGCTTTATTAAATCTTTTGAAAATAATTAAAGTATACTTACAATATTTATTTTTAACTAATATTATATTATAATTAATACATTACATTTACATTACATTTTATTTAAAGTTGTACTGTTAAAACTTGTCTCTTTCATTCTACTTAATATACAAAGTACATAAGGGATTCTTTCCATGAATATTCATCTTTAGGAGAATAATTCATGGTACAAGAATTTTTATGCAGTAATTCCATTAAAAAAAATTTGATAAATTTCATGTTAATAGAAAATGAAAACGAAATACAAAATAAAAGTTTTATTATTCTTTAAGCTTTCTTGTAAACAATGTATGACATAACTATACCTATATATATATATATTGTCTAAAAAACGCCTGATGTCGTTGCATCATAATCACATAGTATTTAAGTGATCAAAAAGGACTAAAGAAAGCTCGTATCTATAGTATTAAACAATTTTCGAAATAGCTGCGAAAAATATTCGTAAAATATTGAAACAATATTTCATAAATATAAAGCGTTTCAATGTTTTAAACAAAAAAAAAATGTAGAGGTAAACTTCATTTAGTAAAAGTTGATAAATTATAGATATTATCAAAAATGAATCGACAAATAATAAAAATAGTAATAGAGAAAAATTGAATCTATTCAATTATTATTTTAAAGAATTAATTGCTTGCAAAAATGATGTCAAAACTCTCGGCAATTATTCAACATTGGGAAACAACGCGACATGAATTGATGTATCACTTATTAACGACATTACTCCTCGAATCTACAGTCTTACTCATGCAATAACCCTGAAAAGGCAGTGATCGATTCGTACGTATCCTCCGTACACGGTAATGATAAAATATACCTTACGTCAATACCACGTGCTTTGACGTAAAATTTGTCTACAATACACATGATACTGAGTTTTACTTCCGCAACACGAAACGGTGATTACCAAACTACTAATCTACATTTTAAAAACCTCACTTCAAAGTTGACCGCTCATAAATCACATTGATTACATAAATGCAACTGGTAGAAAGTGCAAAATGATATAAAAAAGAAGCATTTGCCAGTAACTGAAGCAAATGGTAACACGATAAACACAGAACATCGATTGAAGCGAGAAGAGCACAACGACGTGTACAAATCGTCGAAAACAATGCTTGGAAATGTTATATCGTAAGAATCAACGTGTTTCGAGAGAACATCGAATGCGAATGAGCGATGAGACATGACGCGACGCGTGACGTAGAGATTCAGAAACTCACCATCGAGATGTTGATAGCGTTCCTCTTCCGTGTACGTAGCTGGGAATTGCTGGGCACTAAGCTATCTACACACGCGTCTGCAGTCAGAGCTTCACTGTCAGCGTGGGTGCTATACAGCGTGTATGCCGGTTGTAAACCAGCCGTCCACGAATCGATACTGCGCGAATCAAAGCACACAGCCGTTCCACGAGGAAAACGTATAATGTAATACACGATGCACGTAACAACGAAGGATTATGAATAAGAGAACGTTAGCCAAGATGTCGTGCCGGGAAATCTGCCAAATGGTTTTTAGTCGGTACACACAATTACGCACACGAAATACGCGTCACCGAAACGAGCCGCACAACGGCCGCCCGTCCAACACTTGCCGGCCAATCGCGGTAGCGCAGTAGGAACGTGAAAGAGAAAGAGAGCAATGATCACGACGAAGACGGTATCATAACTTCTCAACCGTCGCCGTCTGATTTCGGTCTGCCCATGAAACGAATGGGTCACGGCGCTCGCGACGCCGATTTTCTTTGTGTTCTGCGTGTCGCGCGCTTCGACATCGTTGCGACTATTCCCGAAACTTGCCGACAGTTGCCGAACGATCAATTGAATTTTGGAGACCGTCCACGTTTTCGTAGTTAATCAAATATTTAAAACTGTAATTATTCGTGTTTCCAGAAATTTGTAATATTTTTCTTGAACGTTAGAAACTTCAATTTCATTTTATATAATTGCATTTACGAGTTATATTTGTTAAGGAACGAATTTTAAAGGTAAGTTTGCTTGAATATAAATTTGGATTTTAAATTAAATTTACTAGTCAAATGAACGATTAATTTGTTATGGTTTTAATAAAGATGAAGATTGACGTAATTATAGAATTTTATATTTTCTTTTATATAAAGAATTTTGTCATGTAACATGCTATTTTAGATGTAGCCTTTCTGCTCGGTCGGACAAATAAACAATGCGAACTTACGTTGGAACATAGTGCCATCTATCAGAATCAATATCAGCTACAGTTTTTTAAAATGTTGCTACTTCAAGCTTTACGTATGTATATGTGTGAAATACACTTAAGGTGTATTATAATTATATTCAACAATTCAGAAATATACAATTTGTAACAAATTTTGAAAAATTTTCATTATTATAGGTGAAACAATAAATATGAAGGAAAATTCGAAACATCAAAATGCTTTTATGATCAAATATGTTGTCACAAATATTGACCGATCGAGGTGAAATAGATCCATATGAATACGATATTTCCATGTTTAATATGAAAGCCACAAATTAATTTTATTTTTGAAGAACATATTTGCTACATATTATACGTTCATTGCGTATATATTATGCCAAGTATAACATTCATCAGTATAATTAAAATACATAATATAAACTCATAATATACTTTCATGAATAACAACTATGTGAAACTTATTAATCACAAAAATTATTAAAAGAATTGCGTTTCATATAACGTATTAAGTTATTCACCAGTAAAATTACGGTCATATATTTACAACCATAAGCATATTGATTCTCTCAAAGTATGTAAGTGTATCAAATTTAATTTCCATTGTGCATTGAAATATTGCAAAATTCTTTGTTATAACTGTTATAAATATTACATAGAATATTCAATATGCATCTTGTTGCACACAATAGAATTCTAATGCAATCTATATCTAGATTTCTATTTGACGAGAGGAAATCATTCGTGCAATCGAGGTCAATGAGTTTAATACTTGTATGTCTAGATCATAAAACGTCCACGTCTATTGTTAGAGAACATCCTTACTTTTCCCTGGATCGAGATAAGATATTATCACAAAATTTCATAAAAGATTCCCACTAACGAATAATTAATTACACAAATTTCGTTTGTTCATAAAAATCAGATTTTATAAAATCAACGAACCGATTTCGTTCCATGAGAATTAATTATTAATCGAATTAATTATTCGTTTAACGAATCGAAACTTTCTTCGAGCTTTTCTTCAACCGCCTTTTAAAAGATTCGGCGCATTATTCACAAACGTCACGTACTTTGTGTAACTGTATAAATTTCAGGCTGGACAATGCGGAACAGAGGAGGCCATGCCGTCAACGAATAATTGCGTAAGCGACGCTTTCGTCAGAATTTTTCTCCTTTGAACAAGTGCGTGCGAGTACTCGAAAATGTTGTATCACTTTATAAAGGGAGAGAATCGAAGACAAGGAAACGATTATTTGTCCCTTTTAAGAAATGGTAGAAAAGGAAATAAAATGAGACGTACTTGCGAGAGGTAGCCTTCCAATAGTGAACTTCTCACGATTTTTTTTCAACGCGGAACAATTTTTTTTATATTCTCCTACACGGCTCGATCTTAACTGCTCGTTTCCTAAATTCAAAGCCTCGCTTCTTCTACATGTATATACGTCTGATTTCTCATGGTATTGACCAGAGTTTTTAGCGTAATTTAAGATTAAACGCTGTTCGAAGGATGTTCTGTGATTATTTATGTAAGATTATGCACTGCAACTTATGTTCCACAAACCTATGCTGTCAATTGTTTAACTAATTCTTTCGAAATTTTTTGTATATTTCCGATGAAAATAATTAACAGTAGCATACTGCATACGTTAGATGTAGATAAATACTGTTTATTAATTACAAATAATTTTTGGTGAATAATTTTTCAAACGTGACATTATAACAACCATATTTTTTGCTACAGGATTATCCATCTTAGAGATTATTTGAACCCTTCGATTAATTATTATTAATCCTTATATGGATTGCAACAGAAAATTAATTGGCCTGGTTACAATTTTATAATATTTATATAAAATAGAATTACGTTGATAATTGTGCTTAATGATATTTAATATCTGATTTTGGACGTGTTCAAGTTTTTATATTAGTTTAAGAAAAGTGTTCAACTCTTAAGTTGTTATTGAGTAATTAGTTTACAACAAATTCGTACAATTAGATAAGAAAATAATTATTCAAATTTATGTAAAAATTAATAAATAAATTTATCTAAGAAATTTAATTTATAACTAATAATGATAACATATATTATAATTATTTCTATTCTAATAACTCATAATTCACAAATAACATTACCCAAACTGAAACATCAATAATATTGATGTTTTACACTCATTTTTATAGTTCATTAGACGTATATTATAAATTCTAAATTATATTTTATTGTTTTATAGATGCAAAGTGCAAAATATATATTGCATTCGTATAATTCACAGATTAAAGTAAAATTATTCTTTTTTATTCCAGGATACATAATAGATTGATTAGTTTTGAGTCGTATTTCACATGTATCTGACATGCAACGCTTGAATGACATCAGCTGTATTAGGTTCAATAACTCGCACGTGGCATTTACATGCACGATGATGCAGCCCAACTTTAATTAAAATAACTAACGTGCTGTGCGTAACATTATAGAGCAGAGAAGGCCGGTCGTTTTGCGATCGTCGCGTTCTGTGAATCAACAATGAATTATTGTCACTTTTCTTTGACCAGCGATCACTGATCCATTGACACATAAAGAGCATCAGAGAGAGGATTCACGATTTTCGTCAGAGCCGGCAGGGAATTTGTATTGTTTGTATGCATCGTTCATATTGCTTCAAATAATTCATCGCAAGCCAATGCACGCGGAATTAACCACTGGACATATGAATTATGTTATACATACGCATACTTGCGAATGATCATGCACGTGCATGCCATTACATTTCTATTTACTTTCGTGAAGGACTAAGAAAAGCGAAGAGTTTCTGGTTTACGTTTAAAATGTACAATATATATAAGAATTATGTCATTCAATAGATATAGATATAATAATTATTATGAATATTAAGTCAATAGATATATTAATTATTATGAATATTAAACGATGTAAAATTAATACAAAAATGATACTATGCTGTAATAGAATGCTGAAATTGGAATGAAAAACGTTTGTAGTAAATATATTTACATTTTTATTAACCTATTAATGTATTAATACATTCAAATATTTACTTTATCATCCTAATAAAAATTGTTGAGTGCTTAATGTAACAAATTATTAGACCTTTTATTATTATTATTACCAAGGTAATGCTATGAATTAATTAAACAAAACCTAATTTTAGAATCAGAGAAAATGAAGGAAGTTATTGAACGAAGAAATTTTAAAAGTTTGTTGGAAGATACAAATCCTATTTTCAGTTCATACAAGTCATTAAATCAGCACTATGAAGTGTTACATATTACACCATCTTAATCAACGTAGATTTTTAATCAACATAGAATTCCCTTCGAAGGGAAATTTATATTTAAAAATTACAAACACGGTTTATTATAAATTGAATATTTAAAAAAGAAATTTTTTCATCTTTATTCAAACAGCAATAAATTTATATTTCCTATGTCACGAAGCAGAGCCTGATTTAAAATACTATAAAAAACCATTAATATTATATTAATTTATAATAACATTAAAATACCATAAAATAATATAAAGCACATATTGTTGACATAAGATATATATCAAATATATATCTAATATAATATTATATTACTATTATACTATATCCAATATAATATCTTATTACTATTATATTAAATATTAAACGTATTTTTGTCAAAATTGATTTTCATGTGTGTTTTATATATTATTTATATAAATAAGAAACAATATATTTATGTATTTATATACTATTTGTTTAATAATAAAATTTTAATGATCACTGGTGATCAATGCGATCATCTTTAATCTCATGCATCTAATCTTTGTTTCCTTCCTATTGCATTATTCATACCTGTATCACACAATTATAATTTATTCTTTTCTAAATCTATACTTCCTTGTAAACCTGAATTAGGAACTATTTTAACGTTACAATTCGAAATACGATTACCATTGTTTTTATGCAAATATTTCATCCGTAATTCTGATGCGAAACGACATCGATATCTGCATCCACTTAAAATTACACAAACGTAGACTCATCTCTTATCAAGATGTATACAGACACTCGCGAACTTAAAAGTATCAGTTAAAATGCAGCTGGACACCTGAATTTTTATTTGTATTCGCCGTATGAATGAATTCAAGTTTAAGGACGCGTGAATGGTTTTCTTTAACAACGACTTACTTCCTTTTCTCTGCCAGTCAAACTTAATTCACCTTTATCTCAATTTTGAATATGCAATTTTGCAATATATTCATATTGAATGGAATTCAAAAATTTGATTATATATACCATGTCGCGATGCAGTTAATAATTAAATTTAAAAAATAAGTATTTAAAAAATCTTTTACTTTCGTAGATGAAATTAAGGAAGAAGAAAGTTTCTGATAAACTCAAAATATCGTTTAAAATTCCTATTGTTATTGTAGGCACTAGTAGATAACTAGGAATTATTGTTAGAAAAATGTTCATTTCACTGATACGATTTCCATTGATTTTTAGGCTGGAGAAAATGAAAAATCGAAAACGTAATTCATGGAGAGCACGCATAGAATGTGTTGTAACAATTACTAAAGAATGCAATACACAGAGGGCCCCGACCCACTCTCTATTGCAATTCGCACGTGTATGACGAAGATAACGTACTCTTCATAAACGTATGATTTACAGTTGGTTTGGTTACAGGAATTGTAACAGCGAACGATGCAAATAATCGAGGAATATGTCAGTTTCTGAAACTGACCGTTTAAAGGGAAAAATAATCTTGGTCTAACAGTAATTCCCACGCATGAAAAAATATGATATTGTTAAATATTTGATATGAAATATGAATGAAATGGGAAATAAAAGACCACCGATATAAAATATTTGATATCTACCTTTGTTTCGAGATGAATAGTTATATTTCTCTTTCAAAGATGAAATAAAGTGAAAAAATAATCCATACCTATTTTACTAGAGCCATATATCTGTATTATTTGACAATATTAATTTTTTCAAAATTATATTGGACATTTCGAGTTACTCACAATACTATACGTCTTGATAAACTTGCTAATACGATTGTGTGTGAAGATGTACATAGAATAACTATAATTTCATAGAATAGTATTATAAATTAGATACTTTTTTGAAATTTTATAAAATGGTCAATTATAATACTATTTTAGTGAATTTCTATTTTCTTTTTAATTTAATCATTCATAATGTAGGAATTTAGTAATTTTACATTATAAATGTGAGTGAAGAAATGAATTTATATGTGAATTCATGTATGAGGTATAGTTTTAAATAAACAGCCAGTAAAGGATGAATAAATAATTACTAGAAACAGTTTAAACGAGCAATGAGTAAATATAAATTGTGTTGACATAACTTAATTGAATTATATTATAAATTCATTTAAAAAAATTTCTTTGTATGTTATATATTATTTTATATATAGATATAATAATTTACATTATTGATATAAAAATATTGAACATAAAGCACGATTGAAAAATTGAAAAAGCTTAAATGCTAAAACAAGTCTTTTACAATCAAAGCATGATAGGTTGTCACTGATTACTTTTCTTTTGATCCACTCTGTATATTAATAACAAATTAATTTACAATAAAAACTATCATCGAAGAACAAACATTAAGGACATTGATTCTTACTGTTTCGTATTTCAATTATTAATTTTTCTTTGTACCTTTATCACATGAAAACTCCAAACTCATTTTAGATTAAACTTTTATTGGTAATGATAATTAAAGCTTAAATTAACAAAACAATCATTATCACTGATAATTAAATGTTATTATAGGAAACCTACATCGTACGAAATTTTAAAATATAAAATTCGACAAGTAAATGAACATTTTGTTAATTAAAATCAGCAATAAAATTTGTAAACAAAACAAAGCGAATTTACGTTTATTTGTAAAACGAAATATATTATAAAAGACGTAATGACACGTGCAGATACGTAATTGAAAAATCAAAATTTGTAAATCAGATATACAGATTGTTTATATCCAATTTCAATATTGATTTTATTTATTAAATATTATGAACGCAAAAACTATCGGAAAAACGATTCGGTGATATTTTGGAATTAAATTTCGAATCGATTTAGTAAGATTCTTACTGTTCCGTTGATCTCAGTGGAGTTCAATGTATCAACGTTGGGATACGTAAAAGAATGCGAAGATTTGTATTACTTCAGCGTATCGCGGTGGCTGATTAATTCAAATGAAACAAAAACGAACGTTGTTCTTCATTTGTATTCTGTTACGACTAGAAATATTCGACCCATCTTAATGCTTTCCGTATTCCTCTAAACCATTAGCGTTAACAAAAATGGCAAAAATAAGTATTTAAAATATTTAAAAGTATTACACGTATCAATCTTAGCGTGAAGTTTATATTTATATAATTCTCCATTCTTTGGATCCTATAAAATTTTTAACAGCTCATTTGCATACATATAAAATAACACTATAATTCCTTTTTATATATATTATAGATATATATGTATATAAATATTATAAATATGTACATGACATATTACATTTATAAATTTATTTTAGTAAGTAGAGATTTCTTAAATTTCTATTTGTATTCTCTTGATAAGGGTTTAATATAAATATACGCGTAAAAAAGAACGAATATTGAGAATTTTCAAATACAAATTAAAATAATTTAGTAATAACACAAATTAATAAATAAGTGTAAACTGTGGAACAAATTATTTTCCTAATTTTTGTAACACTAGAGTTACCTAAACGACTCAGTTAACACGACTTGTATCAGAACGAATATTGAGGATTTTCAAATACAAATTAAAATAATTTAGTAATAACACAAATTAATAAATAAGTGTAAACTGTGGAACAAATTCTTTTCCTAATTTTTGTAACACTAGAGCAACCTAAACGACTCGGTTAAAATAACTTGTTTCAGATATTTTATCTTTGAAATAATTGAAAACAAGTAGCTACTTTTGACAAACGTTATACTAACTTTTATTCAGGTAGAAAAGTGATTATATATAATATATTTCTATCTATGTCGTTTCATTATAATTATTATCATTCGTGTGCAATAAATGTAATTACTCATTGCAGATTAATAGTTCTAGTATTAACAGAATAAACTTTTAGATATATTACCTCAAATGACTGTCATCATTTCCTTATACTATTGTTCAATCAGTATAATTATCAACTAACCAATCAAATGTCCTAGGATAATTATATCTATTCAGTTCCAAAGTTAATACCGTAATTACTTTCAAATCTCTGCCACCTCGGGTAAAGCTAACTTCAATTTAATTAAAAACAAAAATAAAGAAATTGGCAGAAAAACTGTTAAAAGGTTACATAATTAATTTAAATATCCATTCCAGGCTAGGAACTAAACAAAAAACAATAAACTCGTCACATCAATTCGAGGTAACAAGGTCCTTCGAAGACAGTTCAGAGTGGGAGAGGAGCAACTCAGCATTCACCCCTCTTCTCTCGCCCCATTCGTGACCGCAGGTGAGTTCGTCGTTTCACGATCACTCATAAAGCTCGCCTTCGAACGACCAAGCAATACAGAGTCCGTGAAACATTCGGTAGCGCACTTTTGCAAATTCCCATTCCCCAATCGTCCACGCCTCATCCCGCGAAATCGAAAACATATCCGCGTGCAACCTTCAGAACTCGGGATCGCCTGTGAAGTTTGTGAAGAATCCCGGATACCGATTTAGTCCCGTTCAGTCACCCAACATCGATGTCGAATGTTCAGAAAATCGCCTAGAGTTATTGTGATCATCGTTACCGTTGCTCGTAGACTAAACAGGACAGCTGCGATTCAAAGTTGATCCATTATATTCGAATCGTTCGTGTTCGCGGTACCTTTCTGTAAATATGAGGACATTCGTCAGAGCATGGACGATCTTTTTACTGGTGAAACTCTCATACGCCGGAAAAACGGTGGACGTGCTGACATCCAACAGCCTGAACACATTGGAGGAGGAAGAGATTCTTCGAGTTCTATCACGGAATAAGACCACGTCTGTGAACAATTTCACGCTGATCGAGCTAATCGAGGATGGGAGGAATCATACGAATGGGAGAAACAAGGACACGTGGCGCGCTCAGAAGCTGGGGCTTTCCCATGTTAACCCTTTTTACAGTGAGTTTTAATACGAATATTAAATATTTAGTGTTTCACACTGGGACTAGTTAGCTAAAAAAGTAAAATTACCTAGCTAAAAGGCAAAATTTGTGAATAATAACTTAACTTACCCAAGTAAAAAAGTAAAATTTTTGAATAATAATAATTGAAATTGTGCAGTGAAAATACATAGATGCATGTAATTACGTTCTTAATAAGAGTCGAAGGTATAAGAATAAGAATTTTGAAATCAGTCCTTTCCACTGGTTTGGTAGTTCCAGTGGGAAACAAAATTTAGAATTTGGTGACTGAAAGGAGTATCATAGGAGAACATCTCTGAACTTGTTTAACTCCAACGAAAAAGAAGTTAAATTAATGAAAGAAGAATTGAATATTGGTTACACGTCCTAGCGTTTTAATTAAGAAGTTTTAAAAAGAAAATGAAGTTAATTAGTTTGATTTTTGAGATGTTCATGTCATATTTATAAGCTGAAGTTGAACTTGAGAAGTTGACTGAGAAAAATTAAATTGATGAATATCTTTATACGACAGATCAAAAATCTAAAATAGGTACGCGTGTATGCAATCTTGTGACTATTAATCAATCGATTTGATAAAGAATAAAGAATTAATGTTTCAAAGTGAGTGGTTAATGTTAAAATTTTAATTACACTGCTTTCAATCGATATTTACCTGACTTCTAGTAACTTTTAAGTGAAACTAGCACGTTCTCGAAAGAAGTGGTCATCGATTAAGCGCAAACCCAGATGTTTGTTAAATTATTTGTGGAAATAATTTGATTTTTATTGATTATATACAACTATAATACTAATTTTTATTATAATTATACACAACTAATTTATATTACGATTATACACAACTTTAATTCTAATTTTTAAAAATTGAAAATCCGATGTGTATATTGATACAAGAATAATTGACTTTCAAAAACTAAACAATGGCGGTACAATTGATATACTTTAATCTTTTCAGTGCCTTTTTAATTTCGATTTTAAAACATACTAATATTTATAAAAATAAAGATTCGTAAATCGTACTAGGAGAAATGTGTTTAGATTAAATTCTTATGAAATAAAATTACTATTCCTTATATAATATCATCATATAAAGGTATTCATTTCCAAGGCACACAAAATTACGCAAAGTATCGTATATATTTTTATAAACATGATTAATTTCAAAAATTCCACGAACAATTCAAGCAGATAGTACTTTAACGTGGATTAAATTATATATTTTCGTATTTTTTTGGTAGTATGTTAAATACCGTAAATAAGTCGATAGGAATGGATGCGTGGATTATAAAAAGATACTGTTAATTATGCTATTAATGTATCTATAAAGCTAATTTATTGTATCAAAGGTCGATCATATTGTCGATGACATATTTATTCATCTGTAATATCGTAAATAGATATCTTTCGTGCCTTATAAATATGTATAATTTTAAATATATTTTAAAAATTAATTTATTTTTCTTGCGAATTAAAAATATTGAACAGAAAGAATTTGGTAATACTGTATTTTCATGCAAACAAATTTTAGTTTAACTGAAAAATATTATTATCAGTCTTATATTAATTATTAATTTATGCTAAATAAATAATTAATAGTTAGCAAACTATAATTATTAATTATATGTTAAGAAAGACTTATGGTAATTGTTAATTATAGTTTTCTACCATTTTTTTTTAATTTGACTTTATATAGTGTTTAAATATTTTATAATATTAACAATTATCACATACTAGTCTACGATGCTTCGTAGCATGAATTGTAAAATTTGTTTAACTTATTTTCTTAATTTTTCTTGTGTATTCTATTGTATTATTTATAATTTGTAATTCTTTTGCATCTACGGAGTTTCTTTATTAGTTTACATTCCCTTGATGTTTCTTTTTTTCACTCTTTTCATAGTCTTAATACATTAAATTACATACAATTATTTCCTAATATAATATGGAATTATATTACAAAAGTAGCATATTATTATTACTTCGTATATATTACTTTAAATAAATTAAATTAAGTAAGAAATGAGTAAGAATATATTCGCATTACCCATATATTATACTAAACAGGGTTATCAATTTTTTCAATACTGGTTCAAGAGCGTGAGTGAAGCAAACGGCTACGGGTCATGCAAACGAGAGAAAAAGGCGAAACTATTTACAATATTTCGAAATACGCGCTGGTCGAGTCAGATTTTCAGTCATGCGCAGTGCCTGCGTGTACTTCGTATGATTTCGTTATCCTTCGTGTCTCGTGCACGTCCCCATCACGTTGTCAAATTCTATCAATCGTTACAGTGAACTATATTGGAAATGCATCACATTTGAGAACGATTGTTCGTAATTCTCTGTTTACACTCGAAAAATTGGAACTAACAGACAATCTCGATTCTAATCTCACTGAAAAATTACTTTCTATATTTCATCACGTGAAACATACTTGATTTCCTCGCCTTCCTAGCATACGCTCAATTTCTCTGTTCGTTGCATTGTATTTACGTGTTACTAGTTTCCGAAAAAAGGAAGAAACGAAACTTGTCGTTTTAATGGATAATGCACGTAATCGTTTCCAGGCAAGTCCAATTTTGTTTCGATACAGTTACTTCGTTTATTAGTAATGACTTATCTAGTAAGGTGTTATATTTATTCTAAAAATACGTTTTACATGTTCAACGAGATTGAAAGGAATTTTAACGTTAACCACAGACTGATTTAACGTAGTGGTTGTGTGAAAAGTATGTCGAGACTTGCACCAGAATTTATTACACGGTATAAATATATAATGTGTGATTTACACCTATGTGCAAGATTTAAGGAATATATTTCTTATTCCAAATTTTATTTTCATTGAAAGCATTAGAAAAATATGGTAACACGATTAAAATTTATATATTCTATTATGCTAGATATTAATTTATAGGTTAAATCTGTAGCTACTAAACTAAGAATATATAGATTGCAATTAACAATTCTTACAAGAGTACATACTAAC